TGATCTATGGGTGTGTCTGTTTAAAAGAAACAAACACAGTATACTTGTGGTACCCCTAAGACTCATGATATATATATATATATATATATATATATATATATATATATATATATGAGATAATGATATATAATTTTATATGTCAAGAACAATATTGGGAAAAAATGTATGACAAAATGGAAATCCTTTAGGACTTCATCATCAGAATAAATTTGTTGTGTGTGTGTGTGTGTGTGTGTGTGTGTGTGTGTGTGTGTGTGTGTATATAAATATAAAAGTAAACATTGAAGTCAACACTCAGAGGCGACAGGCTGTTTCATGCTAGACGCAATTGGTCTGACGAACAGGAGAGATAGACAAAAACACAAAATTTACTAAGAGCTATAAAGGACAGGAAATTGTGGAGAGCCGTGATCGACCACGTTCCGAAGGGACACGGTACGTGGAAGAAAACATATTTAAGTTGCTAGCCTTTATTTTTTTAAAACATTTAAATTAATAAAAACTGGTCTAGATTGAGAATTCCTGCTAACAAATGACGGTACTTTCGTCAGGAATTGAACTTACATCCCTTTTCCAACAGATCTTTTCCAATAGATCTTTTCCAATAGATCTGTTTCCTGAAGTAAATACTTAACGTCATAGATTTTGATCTCTGAGCAAATCTGTTTACTGTTGAGAAAAATAAGAAAAACAAACACAGTATACATTTATATAATTAACAAAGAATAAAAATAATATTCTTATAAATATTCTATTTTAATTTCCAAATCAATGATTGTTGAATACAATCACTTCTTCCTCTGGAGATGTGTGACAAATTATCTAAACAATAAACCCAACAACATAGTAAATAATGCGAATACGTTGGTTAGCGAACAAAATATCTGAATAGATCAAGGTCATATTAGGTTGAGTTATAATTTTTTTCCGTTTTAGGGAATCAATCATAATAATGAATGCATCACCCCAATTACTAATCATACGTGGTAGTTAATAATAAATTCCGAGTACACTAGCGTAAGTAGTTTTGCACAGTAATGGCAGCGTACACAGCGGATTAAAGGCAAAAGGTTTTTCTCTTCCTTGACAATGCAAGGATGCATGCAATAACACAGGGACAATTTTGAAGCTCTGTTGAATAAAGTGTAATTTCATAAACAAATACGGAAATTATTTATGACTCAATCTAATAGTTACTTACTAAGCTTAGCTTAGTGTTAACACCCAATGCGGATCAAATAAATGGCATAATCGTTATTATCTGTGTCCAGCTTATTAACCATTACACAACAATGAGTTGTCCTGGGAAGGTTGTGCATAGCCTATATAGGTCAGTATCTTAGTAGGCCAAAATAACAGAGCGAAGATAACTATAGATATGTAAGTTATCTGGGAGAGAGTAACAGATTTTATAGTAAAGCGATTATATTGTTACGTTAGACGTGTTGTTCTGCTAGCGGCCATTTGCGAATATTTAAAGAGAGAATGTTGTTTCATTCCCACATCGATCGAATGGCAACAAGACTTCAAATACATCTAACAACTCGGACACAGCAACACGTAATCCATTATTAATTGGCAGTCCAGCGACTAGATAAGTGAAGTCCATTCGACAGGCATCAAGCATAAATATCTCCTTTACGGATTCGCTTGTAAGAACAAATGTCTAATATTTGCGGTAAGTAGACGCGTTTCATTGGCGACGTTCCTAGTCGCTGACAGTTTGTAACGATAGACGCCAGATAAATATCTTTGTTGCCTGAATCTTTAAGAAGTAATGACATTATTGTGTCCTCGTTGTTGTTGCTTTTTTTATCGTAACAGTTTTTGTCGAGGAGTGTCCTCTGGGGCTTTCCGTTCTTAGAAAGGAACATAATCTTTTACGGTCGCAAATATAAGAAACATTATAAGTTCGTTATAAGAAAATATATAATGAAGATATATATATATATATATATATATATATATATATATATATATATATATATATATATATATATATATATATATATATATCTTCATTATATATAAATATATATATATATATATAAACATTTTAAGTTCGATTGATGTGAGTTTGTGACCCTGGGCTTCACTCTCTCTGATAATCGCGAAGAGCGTAATGATAAGGATGATGATGTTAATAATAATAGTAGCCATAATAATAATGATAAGGATAATGATGATAATAATAATAGTAGTAGTGATGATGATGATGATGATGATAATAATAGTGGCAATAATAATAATGATAAGGATGATGATGATAATAGTAATAGTAGCAATAATAATAATGATAAGGATGATGATGATAATAATAATAGTAGTAGTGATGATGATGATGATGATGATGATGATGATGATGATGATGATGATGATGATGAGAAAAAGATCGACGAGGACGATGAGGAAACAATTGATCATCTTGTATCAGGTTGCACGTTGTTGGCACCCAATGAATATAAAACACGCCACGGCAGAGTGAACCAGTATCTTCGTCATTATTAGAGACCGCAAACAAAAAAAATGCCTCCTTATTGATATGGCAGTCCCTACAGACTGAAATGTATCTTTGAAGATCTTCAAAAAACTATCAAAAGAACCTTGAAATCGAAATCTCAAAAATGTGGCACATGAGAACATCAACAATCCTTGTTGTTGTTGGAGCCCTAGGGTTGGTTGGAAAAGAGTCCAGTAGACTCATTGAAGGGATTCCTGGAAGTCCATGCCTTTAAAAAAATACAAAAAATTGTCCTCACGAGTACAGCCCAGACCTTACGAAGGGCTTTATCTACGTAAAATGTATGTGTGTGTGTTTTTTTTGTTTTTTTTTTTAATTGCTCAGTGGAAAATGTCATGGTGCCATTTCTGGCCTTAGGTGTCTGGGCGGGACCCAGAAAGAAATGAGTACACAACAGAAATCAAAAAAAAAAAATAATAATAATAATACGAAATGCAGATTCTATGATAAAAATTCAGAAATAATTGACCATCTTGTATCAGGTTGCACGGTGTTAGCACTAACTGAATAAAAAAAGCTCGCCATGATAGAGTGAGCCAATATCTGTACTGGAAAATAGGCAACTTTTACGGGAAGGAAACTGCAAGAAACGGGTACGAACATCACCCAGAATCGGTTACGGAGATTGAACCTGTAACAATTTTACTGGATTTTACAGTACACACAGACAGAGCAAACAAAGTCCCTACAAATTGTGATGTATTTTTGAAGATCTTCAAAAACTATCAAAATACAAGGATCTTGAGGTGGAAATCTAAAACATGTGGTACATGAGGACATCAATAATTTCAGTTGTAGTTGGAGCCCTCGATTAGAAAAGGTTCCAATAGACTCATTGAAGGGATTCCAGGTAGACTATGACTTAAAGAAATATAAAAATTGTACTCACAAGTACAGATCACGCATTACGAAGAGCTTTATCTATGTGAAATGATTTTAGGTTGTTGTTTTATTTACAAAAATGTTCAATGAAAAATGTCATGAAGCCATTTGTGACCTTAGGTCTCTGGTTGGGACCCGAAAGGAAATGTGTATACTATAAAAATCCAAGGAAGTAATAATAATAATAATAATAATAATAATTATTATTATTATTATTGATGAGTTAAAAGCCATTGTTAAAGTTCATGATGAATAACACGATCAGAATTAATAAAGTTTGCAATGAAAAGGAAAAAGGTTAAAAAGATGAAACAATGAAAATCATACAAGCAAACAATATAGTTTAAGCAAATCAAAATTGATTAGAAGGCAAAAAGAATTCACAAACTATGAATTGGTATTTATACACAAAAGCAAGGTCAACCAAGTGAAGTGAATGCAAGTCTAGTAGTTAAGCCATATCTCGACTGAGCCATGTCAAAAAGCAAGCTGTCCCATTTTATTGGCTAAGAAAAATATCCCAGAATGCATTCACTATCCTTCTTGCATATAAATTCCTCTTTGGAGGGATTTTAACGCTGGCTTATCATCTCTCAGTTGCGTCTCTGTCTTTGGGCAGAGTGTGCTCAGGGGCTTCTCTGTCAAAGGACAGAGGGGCAACTGAGGAAAATTATACTGAGAGGTGCCCAGCCCTGGGGGACAGCTGCCCGAGGCCGCGCCCTCCCATTGCACCAGAGGGAGGAATCGGTGCTCGCATCGAAGCCAGCGCAACTGACGGTTGCGGGGGCTGAGGGCAATTTTTGTCCCTGTCCCGAGCGTACGCGCTCGCCCCCCCCCAACCTAAAAATAGACCTTGTGTCACATCTCGTTCAAGTTGGGGGGAAGGAGTTAATACCACATTCACTATCCTTCTGACTGTAAGAGGGGAAGGGGGAAAACTTTTTCAATCATTACCCCCATTGGCAAATCAACAATTATTATTATTATTAATATTATTATTATTATTGATAATAATAATGATAAAATGTAGGAAAATTCAAAGCGTTCTTTTACATTTAATTAATAATAATTTATATTACTCATTTTGTTGTGCCAATTATTCCTAAGTGTATACGTTACACTTATATACAAAGCGGCGCGTGTTCAAATCTCACACGAGTCCATCTCTATCATATTCTAATAAATATAAAACCTTTAAATAAATTATATTGCATTTGGCAGTTTCTTCCGGTTAAGTTTCTTCCGGTAACCAACGCCTGTATTCACTGGGCAATGTGTCCTTGAGGTTAGATCCAGTGACTAAACCTAGAGTTGTCAGTTCAATATCAGGCTACAGCAGTGGTGAACCGCAAAAAACTTGGGGAGTTGAGTTAAAAGGGAAATAACTGAAACATCCGGAAGATGCATGGCACGTGGAACTAGAACAATCTACCCCACCCCCGTAAACACTCTTTATGTTTATACAATGTTTTGTTGTGTCTCTTATATTGTTCATGTTAATAAAATGGCAACTGTTATTTTGCGTCTCTCCTCTTTATTTCTCGTAGTACCTCATATTTATATCTTTGGGGAGCTCCTCAGCGTCGAGAGCTGGTATTCAATAAAAAAACCCAACACGGAAATCGTGGAGGTTCAACGAGAGGTTCCCATATACTAGATGGGAGGCAAATGCATGAAGGCACATAACAGAAGCAAGGCAAATAGAGGGACTGATAGAAAAAGCAATAGACAATAAGGAGAAGCCCGTACAATCAATGGAAGGGAACTTGGTAAGCGCATTAATCAGATAGAAGGCAAGTAGGGAGAGCACATACAACCAGTTGGGGGAGTCTATACAACAGAGGTTAAGCAATTGAGGTAGCCCATACAGCAGGCAGAAGGCAAATGTAAATAATGCAAGTAATCATAATACCTTATCTCAGAGATATAGAGGCAGAAACGTTGTGAATATAGCAGTGAGGATGAGGATAATAGTCTGAATAATGTAAATAACCATAATACTTCATCTCAGGGATATAGAGGCAGAAACGTTGTGAATATGGCAATGAAGATGAGGATAACAGTCCGAATAATGTAAATAATGCAAGTAATCATGATACCTCATCTCAGAGATATAGCCAGATATATAAAGAAACATAGACATAAAGGCCGAAGCGTACAACGGACGAAACGCTGTGAATATGACAATGAAGATGAGGATAACAGTGCGAATAGTGTAAATAATGTAAGTAATCATAATACCTCATCTCAGAGATATAGACAGATAATTCATTAAACATTAAAACATTTTGCACAGAAAAATTTTAATTAAAAAAATATACGTACGACTTAAACAATAAACCAAGCATGACGTTTTGTTTATTTTTTTTTTTTTAAATTATCTCATGAAGAGGTATTCGACTTTTCATAACATTTCTTCTTTTATGTGCCGTGGCCGTTCAGGACGTAGGTGATCATGGCTCTCCCCCCTATCCCTTGTTCTCAATATGTGTTGTCATTTTGCTACCTGTGTGTATCAGATTTTCCACGCCATCCTTTCCCATTACGTGTCCCAGAAATTCCAGCTGCCCGTTCCTGATGTTAAGCATAAGCTTCCTCCTTGTTTGCATCCTCTCCAAAACCTCATCGTTGCTCACACGCTCAGTCCATGATATCCTTAGCATCCTTCTGTAGAAACATACCTCCGTTGCCAGGAGTCTCTTCTTTTCTTTGGGGAGACCGTCCAACATTCGCTGCCGTAAAGGAGGACAATCACTACGTAGCAGTTCAGTACTCTTTTCTTTGTTGACAACGAAATCCTCCTGTCTCGTAATACTCTGCTTAGCTTTTTGAATGTGTCTTTGAATATTTTGGGATTTTGGTTTGTGTTTTTTCTTTCAAATTAAAATATTTTATTGCACGAAATATTAGCTTAATTTCTGTTAGGAAAAGCAGTAACAATTTATCGGCCGATTACGATGCAACTTCTATTTTTTAAACGAAATAACTGAATTATTTTTCTTAAACAAAAATAACGAAATTACTATAATACTAAAATAATGAAAGGATAGAAATAGATAAAATAAAATGGCGGTATTTATTAAATTTGTAGGAGAATTCAGGTTCCTGAAGCCAATTATTTTAATTCCGAAAAAACTATCTTTTAAAACGGTGGTACTTAATAAGCGGGCGATAAACCGCCACTGATTTTTTTTTTGGGGGGGACCGTAAAAAATAGTAGTCTTATGTACATTTTTTTATCCCGTGACCCGTTGGGACAACATGTGTACTGCAGCCACAGAATAGCCCGACGGAGCCCAATCCTCTCCAGGCCGGTTTTTCCTTCTCCTAGACCGGATGCCATCCAAGGTTATAGAACCCATTCTATCCTGGAGACCGTCCTACCTTTCCCAAGGTTATTAGTACGTAAGTGAATGCATCCTCACTAAAATCTTCTAAGATTCTTTCACCCTCAGTAAGCCCTAGCGTATTAGTGGTTTTATCGCCTTGCTTAGGGTGAAATGATTAAAAAAAGAAAGTTGCCATTACTATTATTATTATTATTATTTTATTTTATACCATGTGAAATATTCTGTAGAAAATGAATCTCTTCGATATAATTATCCTATTATAATTGTGCTTGTGCCTCCCTTCTCTAGTTCGCACAACCGTTACGCCCTGCCAGTTCCTCATAAATAATGGACTATTCCGTTTTGAAGGTGTGGGAAAGGAAGGAAACTTGGTTTCAGAAAGAAAGAAAAAAAGAAAGAAAGAAAGAAAGAAAGTAGAGATAGACGTGGAGAGAGAAAATCAGATTAAGCTGATAAGAACAGATACTACATTTAAATCTTAATATTTATTGACATACTTACATCAGTTAGGCACAAGGCCAGGAAAGCGGGGCTGGGGAAAAGGGTTTGACATGCAAAGCCTAGTACTAAAATTGAAACTACTTTCTAATTCATTCCATGTCCCAAAACATTATTCTTTACGTCCGCCTCTTTCATCCAACGACTGCCATTCTCTACGACCTGCAAATCATCATTTACACTATAAATACTAACATTCAAGAGGATGAGCAAGGTATGAATAGCGGGGGGGTAGGGAACCGATCGAACGACAGGTTTCATGTCACCAGGCCGTTCGGATCCTGAGGGAGAGTACCAAGAAACTGAGACTCTCCCCAAAACGTCACACAAATGCTAAATATGCCCCTCTAGTTTGTCACCCTTCACACACACCAAACAGGTTTCTTCCATCCATCTGTCACAGAAATCCTCCTTGGTCAGCCTTTGCTTGACACATCTTCATCCCTGAGCTGATGTTTGAAGAATGCAATAAGATCATGATGAGTCAGCTTATCTCCATGCAGGACCACGATCTGCCTGGTGTTCTGACTACAGCTGAGAGTGCGAGAAACGTATGCGTTTCAGGCCCTGCCATGAAGAGGCTATATTATCAAATATATAGAAGACGTCGAGGTGTAATACATTTTCAAGCTCCATGTGAGCGACCAGATCCGTTACATATTCCCAGAGTTGGTAGACTTGTGGGCAGTGATAGAAGCCGTGCTCGGCCATCTGTTACGGCCAAGAGTGCAAGAAACGTAACGCGTTTCAGGCCATACCATGAAGGGGTCACATTATGACATATATAGGAGACATCGAGGTGTAATACATTTTCAAGCTCCATGCGAACGACCAGGACTGCTGCATATTCCCAGAGTTGGTAGACTTGTGGGCAGCGATAAAAGCCGTGCTCGGCCGTCTCTTACGGTTCACTGCATCTCCCGCAATCGGGCCATTCAGCTACCCCCACCCTGAAACTGATGCCGTTGACTGGCAATGCATCTCGTGTCAGGCACCAGGTCAGGGAGAACTCGGAGCTGGTGTATAATTCAGTAGCTGGGGTCAAGTACCAATGGGACCGTAGGTTTTCCTCCAACAGGTCAAGGGGCTGGCAAAGGGGATCACGGGCAGCTTCTTTTGCTAGGCTATGGTAAAGTATCTTTCTCTTTCTCTTTGTTGTCTGAGGAATCTTAGCCAGTGCAATTTGGTACTCGTGGAGGAAAGTGGTTTCTCTGGTGGGTCTGCGACGCGCTTCTGCGGTACAGTGCAGGGAGCCTTCCCTGAGCCCTCGAAAACCATCTAAAGCGCATGGCCCCCATACCGGGTTCCCGGCTATCATGCGACTTAGGAATGTCAGCTTTAAACCCGCTTGCGGCTCAGCTGGTGTGACAAACCCAGTCCTTCTCTGCGCACTATTAAACATCCTCTCTCCCAGACTGACTCGTCGAGTTTGTTGTTTGAGGAAACTTAGCCAGTGCAATTTGGTACTCGCCGAGAGAGGAGCGGCAGGAATATGGTCATCCTTTTCGCTGTGATGGAAAGAATCGACAATCTGTACAGGATCAGAGGGTAGATCTATGTGACACACACTTCTGCCCTCATAGAGCCTTCAACGTCACGGATCCTTTGAGTCTCGCACCCTTTGAGTCACGAACCCTTAGGGTCACACACCTTTTTAGTCATGGATCTTTTGATTCACGCACTCTTTGAACCACGGACCCTTTAAGTCACACACCCTTTGAGTCATGGACATTTTGATTCATGCACCATTTGAAACACGGTCTCTTTGAGTCACACACCCTTTAAGTCATGAACCCTTTGATGTAACGCACCCTTTGAATCATGGATCCTTTGATGTCCCGGACCCTTTGAGTCTCGCACCTTTTGAGCCACGGACCCTTTGAGTTACTAAAACTTTTGAGTCATGGCCTTTTGATTCATGCACCCTTTGATCCACGGAGCCTTTGAGTCACACACCCTTTGAGTCATGGACCCTTTGATGTCACGGACCCTTTGAGTTCACACCCTCTGAGCCACGGACCCTTTGAGTTACTAAAACTTTTGAGTCATGGCCTTTTGATTCATGCACCCTTTGATCCACGGAGCCTTTGAGTCACACACCCTTTGAGTCATGGACCCTTTGATGTCACGGACCCTTTGAGTTCACACCCTCTGAGCCACGGACCCTTTGAATCACACACCTTTTGATTCACGGACCCTTTGAGTTATTGAACCTTTGATTCATGCATTCACCGACTTGCCCTCTTTGAATTGCACCTCTGCCCAATTTTTCTCGAGGTGGCGATCGAGGCCCAACCACGCACCCATGTTGCGGACAGGTCCATGTATCCAGCCAAACGTTCCTAGCAAAACCTTCTCTTTTCCACGCCTCAGACTAAGGGAATTATATCTGTTGATACTGGTTCCGGTCACTCGCTGAATTTCCGCGCTTACTTGACGGCTGGACAGGCAGACGGTGACGTCGTCAGCGGATGCAGTCATCCTGGCTATTACCCCATATGACAGGTCAATTCTCTGAATTGAGGAGTGTGCGGATCTCCCTTTCACTTTCAGGAGGTGGTGTTCCAGCACGAGGCCATAGATTAGGAATAATTGATTAGGGGTAATGGATTAGGAGCAATAGATTAGGGTAATAGATTAGGCTCTTTGTTGGTACCATCTTCACTCAGAACAGCGACGATCTCCCCTTTCGTCATCAGTCCTTCACATCTAGATGACTTGTGCGGTTCTGATCTGGGGAAATCGGCCAAATACTCCTGGAAAGATGTCTCCTGCAGATCAGGATCCCTGGCAAAGATGCCTTCAAAGTTCTCTCTAAAACCGCCGCAGATACTAGCCGACGATTTTAGTAGCCGTCCATCAAGAGTGGTGATTTCCTGGAAGAAACGGTCTGCTCTTCGTTAAATCACTTCTCTGCGCTGTTCCGAGCCGATATTCACGGCTCCGTGCGACATCTTTTGCCATCTGGCTCTGACCACCTGATCCTGATATCGCGCATTACTCTTCTCTGGACGGGTTCCGTAGCAAAATAGTCTCCTTCCGCCGTTGCCCGTGCAGCTCTGTCATGTAGGGCAGTTTCAATTTGTTGAATTTGTTGCTCGGTCCAAGGACAGTGGCACAACTGAGTTGTGCTCTTTCCGAAGACAGAGACACATCTGAGAGAAGAAATGAATAAGTTAATCCACCTGACGGCAGATTCTACACTTTGATCCTAGCCAGTGATGACCATCGTGATAAAAACATCATTTTTCAGACGCATAGTATTGAACGATGGAAATCGCCACAAGATTCAATTACCATAAATAAAATAATGTCGTCTGCTGAATTATTTTTAAATTATTATTAATAAAAATGTTCCTAAGGTGAGGATTTGGCTAGTGAATATTAAATAGAATTACTATTGTAATTCCTACTTGTCACTAATTTGAGAGCAGAAATGAAAAAGATTATGCACAAAATTAATCTACTTTCGAATAGAATTAATGAAGATAAAGTTGAATGCAGAGAAAATTGTTCTGTAAAATTTACCTCAACTTTTTTGAAAAGGTTACAGAATGCATTTTAAATATAATAAATTTCAAAATCTCCTTTGCTTTCGGTGGAGGCGGGGGAGCTCTTTCACGGAATCTCCTTTACTCGCTTTCGGTAGAGGCGGAGGAGCTCTTTCACGGAACCTCTTTCACTCGCTTTCGGTAGAGGCGGGGGAGCTCTTTCACGGAATCTCCTTCACTCGCTTTCGGTAGAGGCGGGGGAGCTCTTTCACGGAATCTCCTTTACTCGCTTTCGGTAGAGGCGGAGGAGCTCTTTCACGGAATCTCCTCCACTTTCGATAGAAGGGGGGAGCTCTTTCGCGAGTCACCTTCACATTCGTTAAAAGGGAGTTCTTTGACGAAATCTTCTTCACTTTCGGTAGAGGCGGGAGGGGGGGGGTTTCTCCTTCACCAATCCCCCTCTTTATTATAACGAGGGAGGTACTTCTGAAGACAGCTGTTTCCCCAATACTGGGCACCTCTTAATAAGACAGCAACACAACTGAGAGATGAAATGGTTTATCCACCTGAAGCAGATACTGCACTTTGATCCAGCCAAAATCCATGGCGATCATGATAAAATGTGCCATTTTTCAAATGGACAATATCAAATGACAGAAACCAATTAAGGGAATTACCATAAATAAAATAACATCGTCTATTGAATTATTTTAAAATTATTATTAAGAGAAATGTACATAAGGCGGGGATTTGGTTAATTATAATAATTATACAAATCTATATTTGTCTAAAAAGTGAATTTCTATGAGTCTTCATTTTGTTTTCAATTTAATCTTTTACAATGAAAAGTAAATATATAAATGAATGAATGTAAGACTTGATGATATTTTTTCTTTTTCAAATAACTACCAAAAATTCTATCGATATCAGTTTATTTCAGATTCGTTGCGGACATTTTGATTGAATTATGTTCAACGATAGTTGCCTCTATGATGACGTAATTGTGACATCATCAGTAATCACTATGACAACAAACTCTTCCAAGCGGTAACAATTTGAAGAGCAGATCTTACAAATACGCCATGTTGCTTTCTAAACATACACTGGCTAATCAATGATCAATATTTGTTCTTCAATATAGAAGCTATTGGCTTATTTTACAGGTTTCTTTTTTTTATTATTTGTCTCTTTTTACTTTTATATTCTTACCTTTTTGCTTCTTTTTTCTCATTTAAGGCACCCACACCTTCCTGAAGTCATGATCCATACATAATTTTTCCCTCGTCTGTTTCTGGGGATATTTCTCCAGAGAGGAAGCAAAACAAAAAAAATAAAAATCCTTTGCATAAAAAGAAAACGTTATTCTTTTTTTTTTTCCTGCAGGTAAAAAGACATTTTTTCTTTCCTTTAATCTTTACTCACAAAACGAAAAGAATTAAATCTGAGCATTTACGTAAATACTGAATGTCCCAGAATTCACTAAAGGTTTTCTTTTAAAAGCTTCTAAATTTTTTATAGCCTTTCAAACTCTGACATAGGGTATAATTTCATTACACTTTATAACCCTGTTCTCTCTAAACTCTACAATAAATGCCTTGCTGCTTCTTGTTTTCCTGCTTGTTGGAAATCCTCTTCTGCAGTTCCAGTCTTTAAGAACTCAGGCGAACCATCTGATCCTTCTATCACCCTATTATTGGCATTCTACCTCATTTTGGTAATGTACTAAAGGTTCTAATTAACTCTGAACTGATTAATCATGTTACCTTGCAGGGTCTTCTTTCAGGTAAGCAATATGGCTTTCCCGTTTCTAGGTCAATTGCTGATGTAATAACGATTATTGCGGAAAGAGGCTGTCAATCTTCAGATAAGAATAAGGCTAACTGCCATTGCTCTGGATCTCACAAAAGAATGTAACAGGTTTAGAATTTTGGTCTTCTTAACAAGATGAATGCTTACGGTATTTCTGGGCGAATTTATTAACTCATTCAGTTTTTCTTAGCAAATCGCGAAATTGAAGTTGTTTGAACGGCCACTCTTCTAGATCCCTTTACATAAATGCAGGTGTCCTCTAGGGCTCTATCTTTGGACCTAAATTGTTCTTAATTTTCATCAACGACATTCCTGATGTCATCTGTTCTCAACTCATCATCTATGCGGATAACATGACTATTTCTACCTGTTTAAACAGTAAGTCTGATCGGCTTGATAAGGTCAAATTAGCGGCTGATCTAAAAATTAACCTACAATCTTTTGTTAATTGGGGCAAGGAATCGCTTGCAAATTTTAACGCCTTCAATACGAAAATGCTCTTTATTAATCGCTCGAGAGATTTTTTTTTTTTGCCTTCCATCAACATGACTGATGCTAACCTCCAGGAGGATAACTCATTGCACCTTCTCAGGCTAATGTTTTCCACTGACATGACAAGTTGAAAGTCCTGGGTATGACGATAAACTGCATCCGCGTCCTGGGTAAGACGATAAACTACGTCCAACAGCAAGTCCTCTAATTAGAAGGTTTTGAGGAACGTGGAACCACCTCTTCATTGCTGGTGTTCCTAGGTCGACCCTGACCCGGGGTGATACCAGCTATGTCCCAGCTATGGGAAAATAGTTGACCCCACAACCTCAAAACACTATGAAAGTGTAAAAATAGATTTTAATACCAGAAATACTTTTAAAAAAATCAGTATCAGCAATAAATATTTGAAAAAAAGAAAATATTACCAGAAATAAAAATCTTGTCAGCATTAAATAACCCATTGAGTTTAATATGCCATAAAACAAAACAAACCTAACTATACATTTAAAAAAAATATATTACCAGCTATACATTTTTGAAAAAAAAAATGAAATTCTGATGGCATTAAATAACCATTGTGGTTGATATGCCGTAAGACCAAACGAACCAAACCAAAATCAATTGCTAAGTCTGCTGCTACAAAAGTTAGTTTACTGTGTTGTGTGAGATCATTTTTCTCTTCCGAATCTGTCTTACATATTTATAAGTCTACTATTCTTCCATGCTTAGAATATTGCTGTCACATATGGTCCGGCGCCCCTGCTATGTATTTAGATAAGTGCCTCCATATTTTCGCGGAAAAAACCGCATAGCATGATGAAAAAAGACCCCACTCTCAATTTGTCATCAAAATGTTTATGTTATTATTAAGAGAACCAAAGTATTTTTTATTATTTTTTTATTTTTTTTTATATATATTTTATTTTTGGGAGATTTTTAAAATCGATAATTTTGCTTTGTTTACAAATTTCTTAAAATTAAGAAAACGGTCGCTTTTAAGAACATTTTCTGAAATTGGCCAAAAAGTTGAGATTCCGATCTATATGATTTCTATTTGAAATATACCAGAATATTTTAATTACTGGAAATATTAAAGTTAATCATTTAGCTTTCAATTAAAGCTAAAATAAAATCTTCAAGCATGCTTTTTCATTTAAAAAAAAATAATAATAATTTTGAACCTTAGGTATCGAAAATTCAGTGAAGTTACCTATATTTAGATATAATAAAATCTAAAAAAGAATCTGCAATGTTATCGGTCATGACATGGCATCTCGGTTTCAGTCCCTTTCCCATCGCAGTAATGTAGCTTCATTGTGCAATTTTCTATAAATAGTGGGTTGGTGCATAATTATCCGGCGTTTTTTAAACAATATTTATTATGAATAAAGAAACATAACAATTCAACGATAACATTTTTAAATGATTATTCCGAAGCGCATGATTATCGATGCAGATTTTTATAACATGAAAATAAAATAATATTTTTATTAAAAAAGTAAACAAAACAGCAATTTCTATTAACAAATAACTTTCCTACAAAAACGCCTGACAATTATGCACCAACCCAATGATGATTGTTCTGATGAACTTTCATCTAAGGTTAAATGTAACCATAAATTCTATGCTGGCAGTTTGTTCTCGCACTTGTCTTTTGTGGACTGAGGTGACGGAGACATCTTCATTATT